CTTCCTGCTTTTCAGTGTGTGTCTTGGGGAAGGACACGACAGCACTGCCAAAAGAGACTTTATAAAATGCATTGGTTTTAAGCACATTATAAAGCTGAGATTAAAAATAACATAACATTTCTCTATATTAGTTGGTATGAGAGGAAACTTCAGAAACCAGTCTGCTCTTGGATAATGTCTGTCTATTACAGATATCTATAAAATATTTCCTTCTTGTTTCACCATATCGGAGAGATAGGGTCTGATCCAGAACCCACTGAGGTCAAAAGAATGACTCCCATTGGGTCAATGTCCATGGGGTTTTATAATCCAAAGCCTATTGAAGTGAATGGGAAAAACTACCACTGAGTCTTGATCCCATTTGGATTAGATTCTTATTTTGCAGCCATGAAGACTGGAAACAGTATTATGTTCTCCCTGCAATAAACATACATTGGCATAGTGCTCACCGCTGTCAGTCATATGGTTTTGTATGATTTCTTGTCTGAAGGAAAGGGAAATAAATGTATAAGATTCACAATGGTAGTAAAAGAATGATTTTTGTATTTGTGTGATTTGCTCAATACTTATTTTGTGTTCAAGTCACTACTGGGATGCAAACAAGGCAAGCAGCAGTCTGGACTTGAAAGAGAAACAAAGTATCTGTCAGTTCAGGCCAGTTCTTAAGTGAACCAAAATGGAATTTTGGAAAAGGGAGAAAAATACTTATCACAATACTAATTAAATACAGGACACTCCAGCGTGGCTACTTTAGAAATAAGAAAACAGTCTTTAAGAAAACTTTTTGAACATAAAAGTCTATGACTAAAAGAGAAACTATTGCAAGCTTAACTCTCAGTGGTATATTTAAATATCTAAGCAACGGTGACCCACCATGAGTTACAAGTTGGCAGTGCGGATACCAAGTAGGCTAATGCAGAAGCAGCCTTCATCGAAGTTTGTGGGATAGTTCTCAGAGGGAAGTAGTGGCAATTCCATCTCTTGTGTCTTTTTAGAAGTAGATGAGATAAAGCACTAGGAAATGTTCTGTATGAAACAGTCTTGTGCGGGATAGACTGGGTGACCAAATAAAGCACTTCCATCTCTAATATCTAAGACCATGCACGCGCACACCCACACCGATACCCTAGGACATGAGAGCCTGCATTTGATGAGAAGGGGAATGTTGGCCAAGATACACTGTTGGAAAAGTGATCTGGGAATCTCTTATGTTGGTCTGTCATACCCCCTGCCCCTTTGTCTGTCTTGTCTATTTAAATTGTAGGTTTTTCAGGATAGGGACTATCTCTTATTATGTTTTGCATAGGGCCTAGCACAATGGGGCCCAGATCTTGGCTGTAGTCTCTAGGCACTATAATATAAATTGGGCAGGAGGGGGGAGTCAATAAGAATGTCTCCATTGACTAAATGATTCTTGGATCAGGCGTTCTATGACAGCATTGATCAGAAATCCCCTTCCTTCAGACCGTCACAATTTTTGTGGATGATGTGAATCAGCTGCATTATCATCATAAAATTATACAGATTACTATGATGTAAATACCTAGTAATACTACAGGAAACTCCTTTGGGGCAAAAACTGGAAAAGAGATAAGTCAGACAAATTGTCCTGTGCTATTCTTTGAATTCTTTGAATTGGTAATTCATGCCAAAGCTGTAAGTGTAGGAGGAAGTCAAGTCAGCAGAAAAGTTTTTAGATGAGTTTATAATAATTAAATTCAGACTTCCTTGTGACTGGCTGGCTGCAAATCTTTCCCCATCTTGATTTTTATGCTAAATTTACAAGCTCATAAACACTGAGTAAATAAAATCAGAAATCGCTTTCTGCAAATGCATACACAAACCCTGGAGGAAATGTAAATCACTGGGGTTAAGAGAATTTAAAGTAAGTGTGTGTGTGTGTGTGTGTTTTGGAAGATGAGGGTGGTTAGGGATTGAATTAAAATGCTGAGCAAGAAAAAATAAAAATGCAAAAAAGGAACACAAAGTTTATGAAGATAGAAAAAAGAACTGTAGCAAATGTTGAATATCTGTATTTGGAGCCAGGTGAACAGTTCAGAGGGTTAATGCAAACCTGGCCCATATAGAGGGGTTTGTATTCTCTAAATACATTTGCAAACAAGGGGCTTGTATGTATCATGTTCAGGCCTTGGCTCTGTCAAATCTCAGAGCCTACTAAGCAATGCCATCCTGGTCAGTTATTGGATAGGAAAACATCAGGAAGTGCAGCTAGTAATTCAGTAAGAGGCCCTTTTCTAAGGGTGTGTCTACACTTCAAACTGGGGGTGAAAATTCCAGCTTGAGGAGATATACCCATGCTAGCTCTGATCAAGCTAGCATGCTTAAAGATAGAATGTAGCCACCATGACACAGGTGGGAGGGGCTAGCCTCAGGGCAGCTAGTCCCTCCTGCTGCCCCCACTCCTGCAGCTACACTCTATTTTTAGTGTGCTCGCTGGATCAGAGCTAGCGTGGGTATGTCTCCCCAAGCTGAGAATTACACCCCCAGTTCAAAGTGTAGACATACCTTAGGTCAGCACTGTGCAATTTCCTAACATCGAGAGGGCCTTGCTTATGGAAGTGATGTCTTCTGGATGAGTTTTAAAATAAAGGTATTGTTCATTCTTAGCTAGATTCCAATGTAATCTGCCCACCTAAATTCTCCCTATGCCCTTTCAGCTGCCAATATCATCCTTCACTTCCTTTATCAAAAGCTGTTGTATAGTGTCAATGTTAAATAGCTGTTGCATTTCTGTGGGGGATAAGTGATGTCTATAGATTCATAATTTGTATAGTGCCTGGGAGATAGTTATAGATATAAGGCACTATTACAGAGACATGGAAGTGATTCTATAGATCAGTGGTCTCCAAACTTTTTTGATCGCGCACCCCATCAGTAAAAAAATTTTTGAGCACGCACCCCCTGCTCCCGGCTGAACTGTCAAAGCAAAAAAAAAAAGCCGCTCGGACTCCCGGCCGAACTGCCCAGGGAGGGGTGTAAAAAAAAAAAAAGCTGCTCAGACTCCCGGCCGAACTGCCGAGGGAGGAGAAAAAAAATAAAGCGGCGCTGCTCCGGCGGCGCTCCTCCTGTCGCGCTCCTCGTGCCGTGCACCCCGAAGGATCCTCTTGCGCACCCCACTTTGGAGACCACTGCTATAGATATCGATCTGTCCAGAATTTCAATCTATTTTCTATCCCCCTCTAACTTTGAATTGCAGATAGTGATTCATCTGAAAATATATATGGTTATAACAGACTAGGAGAAGATTTTGTTTTCCCCTGGAAACTTGGAAACTAAAAGATAAAACATCCATCCATTCATTCAAATAAAAATAGCTGTGTTTTTAAGTATTGCAGCAATGTCTTAAGATTCTCCGGTCACCTGTTCCACCACATAGGGAAAACTTAAGAATACAAAATTTCACACCTGTATAGATGTTTCTATGCATGGGGCAGTTTCCTTGGAAAGGATGCTTAAAAAGTTGTAAATGAATCTTCATTATTTTGACTGGATCTCTGCCAGCTGCTCGGCCATTAACATTTTAATGGCCCAGTGATTAAAGTTTTAATTACTAAGCAGACTTATCCATGGATAAGTTCATATTAGATATATCTAGGCTTGGAAGAATTCAATTTTTATTTTTTTATACTGTTGACAGATAATATCGATGTTTATTTTTAAACATTTATTTTAAAAGTAATATATTGATTTAATGTTCACAATTGTGGGAAATTATAGGTTTTAAGCATTTTTAATTTTTTTTTTCTTGATTTTAAATCTTTACATTTGCGGGACTTTACCACCAGGGAGCGGAGGGGTCAGACAACAGGGGGAATCAGAAAATAATACATGACAGAAATGGAGATTCAAAAAGTTAAAGCTTTGTAACTGTTAAAACACAAATTGCTAAGATCATCTGTCAAAATATACAATGTAAATATCCTGAAATCAAACTGGAATAAGTTCTCAAAGCAGCATTTTTCTAACTTTGTCTGTCTGTACATTTTGATTGCTGTTGATGGAAATATTTTTGTCAGTTGTGTGTGTACAGTGAAATCAACACTTCCCAATATAGGGGGAGGGATAGCTCAGTGGTTTGAGCATTGGCCTGCTAAACCCAGGGTTATGAGTTCAATCTTTGAGGGGGCCATTTGGAGATGTAGTTGGGGTTGGTCCTGCTTTGAGCAGGGGGCTGGACTAGATAAATTAAATTATAAATTAATGGAGATATCCTATCTCCTAGAACTGGAAGGGACCTTGAAAGGTCATTGAGTCCAGCCCCCTGCCTTCACTAGCAGGACCAAGTACTGATTTTGCCCCAGATCCCTAAGTGGCCCCCTCAAGGATTGAACCTCCTGAGGTCCGGTCCAACCCTGATATTCTATGATTCTATGAATAGCAATCCAGTCCTTTCAAGCCTGGATATATCAAAGACATGACTCTCTGGTCTGCAGAGGAGTGAGTGCTGACCACACTGTTTATCAGCACCCCAACAGACTCAGCTGTAGCCTGCAAGGAAACTGTGTGACCCACCCTTACAGTTATCATAAGTGGTGTCTGAGCAATACAACAAGGGTTGAGTGACTTCCTGACTATATGTGGCTCCTAACAGGGTGACATGTCCTTTCCCTGTGACAGTATTAAATTCCCAAACTGAGGCTCCTTTCTGGTCCTGAATCAGAGAGAAAATGTCTAGGTCATATTATTTTTATTTGTATTGTGGTAGTGCTTAGGAGCTCCAGTCTTGGACTCTGGACCCCATTGTGGTAGGCACCGTACAGACACAGAACAACAAGATGGCCTCTACCCCAACGAGATTATACTCTAAATTAAAAGCTTACAACCCAAGTGTCAATTTCCTTGCCCAGTGCAAGATTGTTCCCTATAATATATTTTCTGCAATAGACTGTGCATTGGTTAAAGCTGATACTGAAATGTCCTTGGTTCCCTTAGTGCGTGCCACTCATTTAAATCTCTCTTCCTGTTGATTTTTTTTCCAGCCATGCTTTTCCCAGATGCTCAGCGGCTTAAGAGATGGTCGTCATCTGCCCCCATGAGCCCGGTGCTGCAGAACTCGCTGGATGATGTGAACATGCTTTTTGAGGTTCAGTATGTCGGGGCAATGGGCACCCTTTAGTCTCTATACCGGAATAGTGTCATTGTTTCCCATTCATCACAGCCTCCCCATTTCACTCTATCTCTGAGCTCTGCCCCAGCCTCAAACCTGAATTGCTGACCACTGTGCTGTCCCTTACGGTTAGTAGCCCACTGTTGGTACCAAACAGAGAGGGATTGGAGACGTATATACTTTTAAAAGTATAAAATATCTCTATTTCAGATTCTAGGTACATGTACATTCAACAAATTAAAATATACCTAAATTTGAGAAACCCTCAATTCAAAGTGAACTCCTGATTTAAAACAAACAAACAAAACTTTCCATGAAATTATGCCCCCTCAGCCCACGGGTAAACCTGACATTGGCACCTGGAGTTCAATAGATGTGACTTCTGTCGGATCAACAGGGAAGGCAAGATCCAGAACCAATGCCCCCACTGAACATACCCCATTCTCTGCCCCCTAACCGGTAACCATATAGTGCCATTTTGATTCCTTGATCCAAAGCATCAGTGCCAAACGAATCAATGCTTAGCAGCACAGCACCATGCCTGGCAGTGCCAAGGAATCAAAAGGAAAAACAAACCTCCCAGGACAGCATGACTATTTCATCTGTACAGAGCAGGCTCAAATCCTCTGTTCAGTACACATTTGAAAATGATTCTGGTGCTTTGACCCTAGTATAGATTACAAAGCCACTGCATGATCTGCCACAGTTCATCATGACTAGAAAAGATCCTGAACTATAAAAGGAAAGGTATCATAGGCCAGTATTAATATGTGTTGGTAACGCAGTGTAGTGGGCCCAGAACTGGAAGGGCAGGAATTAAGGTGCAGTGGTGGAATTTTTAGAGGGCAACTTGAACAGTGTCTTTTTACTCTACCCTGGCTTAGTTCTTTGCTTGCATTTTACCAAAGAAAAGAAATAAGAACAAGCTCTAAATTAATGTTTACTCTATATATAGACTCTCAGAGGATAAATAGCTTTCTGTGTTCTGATTTTGTACCAGTTTCTTTTAGCTGAGATTGAAATTGACAGAAGTCTGAGGATCTCCATAAAAGACGAGGAGCTGGCTTCGCTGAGGAAGGCCAAAGAATTTGACACTGTCTGCAATGACATTATCCCCAAGAGCATCACAGAGATTCGTCGGCTGAGTGCCAGGCTGTCTGACTACCCGAGGGTCCTAAAGAAAGAAGATTTTGAAAGGACAGTGTTGACCATGGTCTACACAGCCTATAGGGCAGCTCGATCTCGGATGCACCAGAAAGACTCTTGGACCGAATCCTTCATCAGTCTCTACAAGGCCCTGAAGCAGGACTTGATGTTCTCATACAGCAAAAAGCCATTGCATTGAAGGAGTTTATACACCAAAAATGCAACGAGCTCTGCTGAGAAGGGGACACATAGCACGTCCACCACTTTATTCTGTAAACAATTTAAGTCTACACGTAGATAAGGATTCTTTATTCTCTAGCTCCCCCTAGTGGGATCCTGTTATAGAAACACGTTAAACAGGAAAAACATCTTGTCTGCTTCAGTCCCTGGCATCCATTCTCATGTGGGCAAAGAAGAATGTTTTATTACTGAGGTAGAAGGGAATATTTATATTATATATACATATTTAAAGTTATTCCCAAAGGATGAAGGAAGGGCACATTCATCTGGCAAGTTTGGGGGGAAGTTTTAGAAACCCGTTTCGTGTTTTGGAAAGTAGTAAATATTTTGAAGTTGCATTAAACAAGTCCATCCCTGGTGTACTATCAACAAAGTTAATGGCTTTATGTCTGGGATGATTTGGGCTTGATCTGTCTTGGAGGTGAAGGGAAGTATGCTCTGGTAACTAGTTTGCAAAGCAAACTCAGAAGGAGAATGTGCTGGGGAATGCTACCTTCCTGGCTAGAAAAAAAGATAGTAGTTTTTCTGCCACCTAATGGGGTGTAAAGAGAGAGATACAGGCCCACTATAAAATGAAGAAGAGTCATGGCAATTAGAGCTTGGAGGCTATGGCAAGAGTAAAATCATCAATATTCTTATAAATCAAACTGCCTGACTCGCTTCCCAAGTATTGGCAACCTATTTTAATCTCTTGTTCACATACATTGGGTTGAGCCAGTTTTTATTCACAAGAATGTTTGTTTGTGGAAGGACACATAGTTATTTGTGTGTGCATTCTCCCCAGAAGAGCTCTCACAGCCAGTCTATAAAGGTCCTTCCATTATTTGCACATGGCTCTGAGCCTGCAACTATCTGTCCATGTGGAGTCAACTGCAGGATCAGAGCCTAGATTAATTTAACAATTACACATTTTTCATCTTGTCCCTATAACTCAAAGTCTCTGAACCAGTCTCCTGGTTCAGAACATCCCTGAACTTTGTGAAGGGTGTAAAAAATCAAGACTTTTATGGATAATTCATGGACAGAGGAAAGGTATTCATCAGATAAATTATTTGCAATGAAGAGTTCAACCTGTTCTAGTGACAATGTCCTAAGATTTAAAACAGGTTATACTAATGCTGTTTATCTACCTATGTCCGATATTTTTAGCATGTCTCACTATAGTATCTGAGCACTTCTGAAAAGCTGTTTCCCCTTTAATATTTGCACCTGTGCTCTCTCTCACTGACTCTCACACACTACACTCAGTCTTTCTCTCTTTAATCATCCACTTTACTTCATTGTCTAAAGTGTATAAATAGAGACAGGCCCAAACCAAAACCGGAAAGGGAAATAGTTTGGATTTTAAGGACCAGACTCTGAGCCCCACGCTGCTCCTTTTGCATCACTCAGGCCATACAAAAAGAGCAGAAATCGCCTGCAAGTCTCTTATTGTGGGGATATTCCACTAGGTGGGTGATTTCCCAGTAAATGTGGAGCTAGCAAAGCCACCTCCTACACTTCCCTCTCTGCAGCTTTCACTGCAGACAGGGTGTTAGGGACAGTCAAGGGCAAGCAGGGGGAGTTATCAGAGCACAGTCCTCAGCTGGTGTTTGATCATTGCCTGCTGGTGCTCTTTAGAATTTTGCAAAGTTATAAACAACTGAAAATAGGGTTTTATAATGGCAAGTCTGAGGCATCTTTAACAACAGGTGTAGCTAATTGTGTTCGTGTGTGGAAGAGTATTCATACACAAAAACACCACGTTGTGCATCCTTTAAAACTGGCCTACACTTAACACATCTAACAGAAACGTTCCAAATGAAAAGCAATACATACCTTCCACTCCTGCGCCCGGAGCAACACAACTCATTGCTAGCCAAACTGCCATATGATACAACCTTTATTAATTAACGCTTCCCTGAAAAGGACAGCAGTCTTCCAGAATGCCCTTTCCCAAACTCCCACCACCACAAGCAGGCCAGCAGATGTCACACATGTAGTGTCTCTTCTGCACTGTTCTGGGAAACCACCCTCACATATTTCACAATCTTGCGGATTACTCTGTTTTTCCAGAGCAGCATGGAATGGGAGTAGAGGGGAGCGCCCATATATGCCTTATTTCTTAAAAATAAACACAAACCATCTGTTTTTTCCCTTTTAAAATTACCCTGTCATAGAATTAATTTGCTCACGGAGGGTAATTACCATGAGTGTTCACCCTGCTTTTACTCTGTGCTCCTATTCCATTCCCTAGAGTAAAAAGAAGAGGAGTACTTGTGGCACCTTAGAGACTAACAAATTTATTAGAGCATAAGCTTTCATGGGCTACAGCCCACTTCTTCGGATGCATATAGAGTGAAACATATATATATATAGCAGACTAACACGGCTGCTACTCTGAAACATTCCCTAGAGTGACATCTGCTCGGAGAGACAGGAACTAGAGCATTCAGGAGCTCCCTCCACAGGCCAGTGGTCCTATTTTCTTCCCTACTGTGACAACAACCAGGACTGAGGCAGTAAGTTTGAAGTAGAACTTACTACACAGAGAGGTCTCTCTCACAGTAGGTGGTACTATACTGCATACAAGGTTTATCTGCCAGTGAGCATCATAAGCCCCTCTGAAAATGATCAGTACAAACATTGCTCAGAACATCCTACCATTCCCCGTGGATTACTGTACTTTACAAATTATCTTTATTTCTTCACTGTTAAATTAAGTCTTCTCAAGTTTGTTATCCCCTCCCTTCTGGCCCAATTTCTGTGGATAATGTAACAGAAGAGAATTACTATTGTGTCACTCACATTGCCCAAGTTTATTTAATACAGAATCATTAATGAAATAATAAAACTATAATCAAGAACTACTTGACTGTTTGGTGTATTTGTTAAAGGAAGTAACTCCACTGAGGATATGTGGTAACTTGCAGATGTAACATGCCCTTATTTCAAGAGCTGATTTGCTATTTAACTACCCTGCAGCATGCTCTCAGTCCCTGGATATCTTTCAATCTGTGGAGCTCCATCCCCACAAAGCATAACCATTAGAGATGGGCAGGAAACGGGATTTCTGTTCAACAGGAAACTCCAACACTTAGAAACTCATTTTCATTTTTAATTGTTTCAAAAAGGTAAACAAATTTCATTTTCATGTTGCAACATTGTAATATAAAATATTAAATATAAATTACAGATGTAAAATATTAAAATTAATAGCAAAAAATGAAACAAGATTGTTTTTGCCTTATTGAAACTAAATATTTCAACATTACCAAAATGAAATGAATCCTCTCCATGTTCTTCCATCAAAAATGTTGTTGAATGTTTCGACCAAAAGTTTTGATTTCAATCAAACTGCATTTTCTGATGGAAAATTACTCTGTGGAAAATGTTTCCACCAGCTTTGATAACCACACTGCCAGGACATCGGGATAATTCTAGTGGCTGGATCTCTTTCCCCTTACAGTAAGAATAGCCAAGTGATTGGCCACACAAGTTTTCAGCAGCCCACAATGTTTCACCAAAAATTGATGTTTGTGGCCTGTTGGAGTAAGGTGTTCACCATTGTTCACTGCAAGACATTTGGTGCTCACAGTTCTCTGGCTGTGCAGAGGCACTCCCCACTCTGGCAAAGTGGAAAGCACTGAGCAAATGGATCAATAGCCCCATGGGATATCTATCTTTCCCCCAGGCAGAGGATACAGAGCTATGCATAGGAGCCAGGGTAGAACAGAGAAGGGCATATGGTCCCTCATTTTGGAAGGGAGGAGGTAAGAGATAAGAAGTAGAGTTCCCTTCTTTTCCTTCAGCTAGGAGAGAGGATGGAGCATGGAGTTCAGTGCAGTGGAGTACTCTGACTCAGGAGAACTGTCCTGGCACAGTATCTCTCCTAGACTCGCTCAGACACGTGCACAGATTGTCTGATCTTCCGGGGAGAGAAGTAAGCACTATTGTCATCTTTATTCCCGAGCTCTTTCTAGCATAACTTGGTTAAAGCCTGGAATTTTTTGGCTCTCCCTACCTTGGTCTCATACCCATGGACTGTGACTTACACACAAACTCACTGCTTCTTTAGTGTGACAAAGACCCATTGTCCTTAAGAGAGTTCTATGCCATACCCTCAGTCATACACGAACAAACTGTCATGGATTGAAACACTGCTCCCTTGGGGTAGCTTCATGATCCAGTGGAGTTAAAGACACTTATGGCAACTTCAGATGTGTCCTCCTTAGCATATGGGCCACAGCAGCAAGAAGTGAATATTTCACTGCAGCATCACTTATAATTCTGGATTTTTTCCCCCCTACCCCTCCCCTCCGAAGGCTGCTCCTGTAGGCCATATTCTACACTTCCCTGCATTTTGTGTAGTCACTTACCTTCTGCCATGTCAGAATGGTGGCTTTTTACATCCACTTTGCACAGGTGTGGTTGACAACACAGGTGCAAGGCAGTGGAGAACATGACTCTAGGTTTTTAATTCTTGACCAGACTGTGCATAGCTCTCAGATTCCCAGTTCTCCAATGTGGGGGCAATAGGGATAATAATGACCTCAAAGAGGGGCAAAGGGAGAGACTTCATTTTTTCTCTTATGCTCAAATATCCTTTCTCTGCCTCCAGTCTCCCTTCAGAAGCCCATCTCTGTTCATTGCTGCCACTTTTCCCATCTGTGTCCTTCAGCTCCAATTCCCTTATTCAGACATCAGTGGTAGGGGGCTGCAGCTGTGGGGAACGGAGTAATTCCAAGCCTATGGGTGGTAATGGGAGAGCACGGGAGGAGAAATAATTTGTCTTTGCTATTGGTTGGGCTGAGCCAGCCCTTTGGCCTGCCAGCAGGAGTTCACACCCAGCCAGCCCTGCTGCAGCCATCAGTCTAGGTGCACATAAAGCTGTCTGGGCTCAGCCTGTACCGCAAAGTTTTTTCCCAGGCTGCCAGTAGGACTGATTGGTGTCCAGGGTGGATGGAGCAGATGTTGCACAATTTGAACCTGTTTTGGAACATGACCCCCCAAAAAACTGTATCTACTGTGTGGTTCCCCAGGAAATTCTGGATGCTTGAGATGTACACGCTCATGGATCCCTGCAGCCTATGGATGAGCTAAGCCATTAGAACCCTGTGGTTGGGGAGCATTAGGTTCTGAATTTGCGTCTGATTTCCATGGAGTCTGGCTGATGTTAGTGTGTACATAGGCACAGATTGCAGCACATCCCTTCTAAATTAATAACCCCCATGAATGAAGCAACAGTGATCATGAAAGAGAAAGTATGTTCTATAGAAAACAATGTTTGTTTATTTATCAGCAGCTCCTAGGCCTTGAAATAATCACACTGTTCAGCAACTAAAACCAGCCTTTCTTTGTGAGAGGAGGTTGTTTGTCTTCTCAAGCGTCCTGATTGGCTTTTGGATGGTGGGCGGAGGTTCTACCATTTTCCATCCTCCTTACTGGCGAATTATAGTTGGACGAGACTTTTTAACACTTTTTTTTATCTTGAGACTGAGGATAATCTTTGCAAGAACTGCCACCCTCCGAATTCCAGGGTGAAGAAAAAGTAGGGGAAAGGTAAACTCAAAGGCGAAAAGAAAATTATAAGGAAGAAATCTGAACAAAGCACATCATCAAAAGCAGGAAGACTTTAAAAAAGAATACTACATCTTTCCTTCAGTGCTTTAAACTGTAAACTGTTGCTACTACCAATTTCCCAGGAAGAAAAGAAATCCAGTATTGGAAAACTCAGGCTATAGTATTAGTGAAGAGAGACTTTAGAGCATACCGTGGGTGGTTATGCAGGTATTAGATTTTGTTTACCAAAAGCAAGACTTACATCACTGAAAACCAGATGATGGAAGGAACAGAAGCTTTATAAAACAGGGATGAGAAGGCAATGCAGCAACTTCCCTGATTCTGAATAAAAACACCAATACCAAAAAGACCACTATGCTCCAGCTTGCAAACCTCTGTAGATTCTGGTGTGACAATCATAAGGATATGCTAGTAAGCCCTACATAAACCTGATAAAAAGGTTAGCAAATTTGATAGTGTTTCTTTAAAATATAACAGAAAAAGAATAAATCTATTAACAAAGAAATTTCAGGGGCGGAAAGGTGGGGAAAGGAGTTGACACAGTGCAGTCAGAACCCGTTCGGAGACATCAGGGCAAAGCTGAAGAAGGACCTGGAGCTGAAGTAGAAGCATCTGAGGAAAACAAGGACAAATCCAAGGAGGAGAGCAACCAGGAAGCGAAGCATTATGGCACTGGTGAAGGAGCTCCTCAGGGCCAGAAACCTGCTGCTGGTTGTGCTCATTCCACTTCTGCTGCTTCCTCTGCCACTTTTATACCCCAGTAGTGTAAGTACATTATTGTTTCCTTTTGATTAAAGCTTGTGGAGCAGACGGGCAGAGAGAGGGATGGTGAGTTGCAGGGTAACCATCCTGGACAGGTGTGCTGCAGAAAATGGGGGGGGGGGGGGGCGGGGAGGGACTTACAGAGCAATTATTCTTACAGGGCAATGATGCCCCTTTGTAGAACTTAGAAATACGATTTATTTAGAAGCAAGAGTAGTAGTTGTCATAGCAACCAAATATGATGTCACAAGCAGAGGTGGGGAATCGGCACTGAAGCTGAAAAAGCTCCTGTTTTCAGGCAAATGCATCAAATACGTTTTTTTTTAAGTGTGGCAAAAATACAGACTATGTATGGCAGATTCACGGCATTATCTTTAACAAGCATTCTTTTAAAAATTATACCAGGTGTCATGAGGCTCGTAATGACAACAGGTTGTCCGGGGACTTTCAAATTAGACTGAGTTTTTATAAGACAGCTGTAAAGAATGGAGCCAGGATTCAGTGATAGAAATGTAGGAACATCCACAGCATTTGCTAGTGCATATCAGACCTTGTTTTCTCTAGTCCAGTATTACACTTCTGGCAGTAGCTAAGTGTTGAAGTCTCAGAGAAAGGCACAACAGCACAAAATGGAGGAATTGTGGTTTGGGGCTGAGGAATCTGGTTTTTATTCCTGACACTGCCATGGACTTCCTGTCCTTGGCATAGTCATTTTATCTCTCTGTGCCTGCATTTCCCCATTTGTAAAATGGAGGATAATAACGCTTCTCTACCTCATAAGGATATTGAGGCTTAATTTGTTAATGTTTGTCAGGTATTCAAAAATCTATGGTGATGATCCCCATAGAGATGCCTATAAATAAATATACATCTGGCCAGTGGGGCGGTATCTTACCTTGGGAGCAAAATTCCTTCCTGATTCCTGCTAATGACCAACTCGAACTCTCCTGCTTCTGTGAGGATATATATTACCAAAGGCATAAATAGAAATAT